TTAAAAATTATTTTAGATATAACAAAGCTGAGAAATCCATTTGCCTATTTGTGTGTGTGTGTCTGAGTGCTGTTGCTTTGCTGGGTACTTTGCAGGTTGAGCTGTGGGAGCACACCTGAAGTCACTTGTTCATGCCATGCTCTGTTCCCCTTGCACCACTACATTGCTCTTGCCCAGCATAGTGGGGGCTTGAGGGTTATTTTGTTTTGTTTGATTACATAGTGGTGGGAGGAGGAGCAATGATTGCCTTGTCTTTCTGAGGCTTGGCTGCATTTTAAAATTTTTTTTTTGTTCACTGCTTTTATTCATCAGTGACAATTTATAAACAGTGCATGTTTCACAATGATTTCAGCCTTGAGTGCCAAACAACTGTATGATTTTGTTCCTTTGTTTGACAGCTATCTGGCACTCAGCCCTGGGCACAATTATAACAAATAGTTTTGTCCAGTACACTTGTATGTTCTTTATTTCAATTACGTTTTTGCTATTACATTAGAAATGTATCTTCCTAGAAATGTGGTTCAAAAGGCACATGGTAAAAAAACCAATCCAAACCCTTTTAAAATCCGATAAAGGAATTGAGTATAAATTTTTTCCATCAGTATTTTGGAGTTGAGAGGAGGAGGAGGCAGCAGTGTAAACAAAGAGAGGCCAGTAGAAAAATACTGCTGGGTTTAGTTGGTGCAGTTGCACCACTACAGACTATGAAAAAGAATATAGTTTGTTGGCAGGAGGAAAAAGTCCATGTGTTTCTCCAGTTGGTAACCATTTAATCTAGAATAGTTTGTGTATGTATAGGCAATAAGCAATGGGCTTTTAGCTATTTATTTAGAACAGAGTAAAGCTAAATAGTACTTTTAAATTATAGAATATTTTCTGTATTGATTTATCTCATTTTACCTACATGAAAGAAAATTTAGAGCCCAAATGTCTTGGACTCAAGGTACACATTTAGTTGGCTTGGTTGACATTCTCCAATACGAAGGAGGAACGCTTTCCTGTTACTGTGTGCCTCGAGTTCTGTTTTGTGTGCCTCCCCCTCTCTTCCCAGCTCTGACACAGCTTGGTCTCATGATAGAGATATAGTGCAAATGCCAGTAAACCAATGTGAAATAAAACACCAAATGGAAAGGCAGTGATTCATCAGGAGAAAATGTTATCCAGACCCCAGTAACTTTTTTTGCTTCTTTTAACCTGTGCTCTCAAGCATTGTTATTCCCTTGATAATCAGTTGCAGTTCTGTTACTGAACTCAAAGCTGTGTTTTTGAAGTTGCCATTGCCCTTCTACTGATCTCTATTTTCTTGATGATACTTTTATGCTGCTTTCTTGTTAGTTAATGCAATGCAGTTGTTTCATTTGTCCAGTTTATTTTCTTCAAAAAATACCTCAGAGGGAGGAAATAATGTAAACTTTAATTTACACTAAAATCATTAATAGAATTATCTGTCCTCAAATCTGTAGAGTATAATTTTACTGTAGTCTTACTTTGTGGTTTACTTGTATTTTTGTCCCTTGAATGCACCCATCTGGATCAGTACACTGCTCCACCTGAGCACTTTCATAAGGCTTTTGCTCAGCTGCACTTTGGGATTTTTCCTGTCTTTACCTGGCTTGTCTGTCTGCCTTGGTCTGCTGACTTGTTTTGCCCTTCTTAAGAAAAGACCATTTTTATGTGGTTTTGTGCAAATGTGTTGCTCTTCGTAAAGATTTATTTTCTTTTTATTTCCTTCATCTTAAATATAAAGAAAAGGTAAATTCTAAAACTGCTTATGCTCCGTTGCTTGCCCTGTGGTACGAACCTGGCTATAATGCCTGACTGTTCAAGTCCAGACCATATAATTTTTTCACATTCTTTCTGGGCTTTTGTGGTTCTTTCTCTGTGCACCTGTTAGTGGCCAGTGCTGTTGGTGGGACACCATGGTAGAGGAGTCTTTCTCCAAGATGGGTCTTTTTGTTTGTTTGTGAGACATTTATACTCAAAATTGGCATCTTCTAAGAGGTCTTTAAGTGCAGATTCTGAACAGGGGTGCTGTGTAGTAGTGTAAATTTTCCCCTTCACAGGACAGATTATTGGGCAATAGATTTGGAAGATAAAAACTTCATGTTGTAATGAATTCACTAATACTGTGTTATAAATGCTAGGAATTGTGGTCAACAAAAAAGTGAATAATAAAAACCAATATAGGAAAATACATTTTAAAGTGGAAAAATAATAATTCAGTGATGGCCAACTTTTAAAGAATATCAAAGCAGGACTAACACTTAGTAACACTGGAGGAAGGAATAATGAGCCAGATGATAAAATAAAAGAGTTTGAATGCAAAATTAGTAAAAATTTGCTTATTTCTGTGTTAGCTCAACAGCATGGCTTGAAGGGGAACTTTGCAGTTTTCCATTGCAAAAAGCAAATTCACATACACATTATTAATGCCCAGTATTTTGTTATTTGAAACATGTCCTTTTTGCTGCAGCTTCTGAGATGTGTGTGGATGTTTTTCAGAATGCTTGATCCCTTGTAGCGTGTACCATGCTGCTCAAGGCAAGAATCTTTAGATGTCACAGTCGTCTTGCCACACATGATGAATCACTTTGCCTAAAGATTTTCTGCCCACATAGCCTCTGGGGTGGCTCTGTCTCCCTAAGGATGTTCTGTTCAACTGGCCATCTGAGCTAATTGTGCTGTGAACACAAGTACTAAATCCAAACTTTTTCACATTTTATCTCTGTCTGTACATAATAAAAAGAGTCATATGCAGAGAAGTAGTTTAGCTTTAAAAAGACAGTATTGCCTTGAATTTGTTTTGTTTGAATTTATAATTTTAAATTTAATTTATTGAGAATCAGGTCAAGTGATTGTAACTGCAGGATACTGTCCAAAATAGGTTTTCCTACATTTTCTCTTTTTAAATTTTTTTTTTTTTTAATATTGCCAATAAACCAGCATGTGTAATGAATTTCATGGCTTTCCTCATTGTGTCCCTCTTTGGATACGTTCTTTGGTTGTATTGGCCTGTGAGACAGGATTAGTGGCAGCTGGTAATAAAACCTGAAGTTTCAAGATATTGAACAGGTATCTGATTGATTGTTTCCTTTCAGAGGTCCATATATTTGCTGTGTGGAGCGTGGGGGACCACTCCAAGAAGAACATTTAAAATATATATGTTTTAAATTTTTTTAGTATTTAAAGAGCAATTCATGCTTTTCAAATAATTTAAAATTTGTGGTAGGTAAACTTAACTTCAAATCTGGTTATTCATTTTTCATATTCAGTGGGCTAAACCAACATCCATTGAACTCTTTGTTGTGACGAATCTGTAGCGGTAATATATCAACAATAAGACATAGGAAGTGTCAATTACAGCAAGTAAATTTTATTTTTAGCTTTCTTTTTAAAAAGTTATTAATTATTTATATTCTTACCCTTCCTGCCTTTTTGCCTTTGGTGTCTTTATGATAATAAATATTCCTGTGTTCTCTCCTTCCCATGTGATCAGTGGAGTCCCTAACTCCCTTTGTAGCTGTTTCAAGGTCTGTTGTTATGAGGAGGAGGACGTGGCCCTTCTCCTGCTCTGCTCCTTCCCCCTGAGAAAATTCATGAGCAGACCTCGGCAGTGAGGGGTGGCAATGTAACTACCAACTATTAGATGCCATATTTCATCTTCTGCAGTCGTACAAAGAGCCACCTTTTCTAACTTATACCTCCTTTCTTCATTCTATCCTGTTGACAATTTTCAAATATTTGCTTAAATAAGCATTGATGGGAGAACTGCTCATCTGTTTTCTTTTTTGGATGACAAATATAAATTTAAAGAAATTCCACAGACTTCCCTTTTTTCCCCTGTGGATATTGATTTATTTTTTAAAAAATAACTATCCATCTTGCAGAAGATATTTTCACTACCAAGAACATTCTTTAAATACATAATAGCTCTGAGCAGTGTATATTTTCTCTCTATGATAATTTAGAAATCCTTTTATTGAAAATGTAGAGGATACCAACTCTTTAAGAAGCAGCTCAGTAACTACTGAAAAAGTGCCCAAAATATTCCTCATAGCTTTTTCAAAAAAAGTGAAAACGACCCCCCCTCCTCAGCCTCCATGTTATTCCAACGTTTCTTTACAAGGAGGTTTTTACCTCTAGAAGATAACTTCTTGGTCCTTGTCCTGATTATTTTTTTCTCATTAAAGATTTTGGTTTTGTTGGCTTCTTTACATTTGCAGCTCTTCAATAGATGCAGTCTGTGTCACATTGAAAAAATTGTATTGGAATGAATGTCTTATTTAACACCTGAAAGTATAGCATGATTAGTTAGAAAAATGCTTATTTGGAAGTCAATGCCAGCTATGCTTGCCCAAGGTTTAATATTCTTTTTTTTTTAATGATGAATCCAGCTGTGAAGCCTGAATGGAAATCAGACAGCTTGACGCTAACAGCTGATCATAAGGAGTCCAGTTAGGCAAAACACAAAATGAATCATTTTTGTTGACCCTGGATAAAGCTGAGTAACGTCAGTATAGCTGATTAGATAGAAGGGAGCACTTAGGCAGTATCTAAATTTTAGAGCATTCAATGTAGCTGGGTTTGAATGTTTCTGCAGTAGTTAAAGGAAATTCTTAGTAGCGCTGAAGATTTTCTTTGGATTTGAATGCTTATAAGAATTGCTTTCATGGAGGGAAGTAGATTCTTAATTTGAGCTGTGCTTTCAGTTTTAAGTTTCTTTCATTGAATGAATTTTTTAAGGCTTTTAATGTTGGGAAAATGTGTGTCTCTTGTTAGGGTAATATTTGCATTGCCTCCCTGCCATTTAACCATTTTCGCTCAAAAAATTGCACAACTCATTTGGTCTTAGCTATCAACTGTCATAAGCTTCGACACATTCTTGCTTATGCTTATCGTAAATATTAATTTTGCCTTATTTTTCATGCTGTGAGTAGTTTTTTAAGAAATCCATTTCAGGATACTGCAGTGATGAGGTTGTTTTTGGTTTTTTATAACTGTTTTGTTCATTAATTTCTAGCTCTCTTTCCAAACACTGGTGCTTGTCTGATTTTTAGCGACTGAATTAATCAAAGCTACTTTTTGCAAGATAAATTTCCTAATTTATACATTACATACTTTTGAATTATATTTAATATTTTATTGTTAACTTTGCTTCTGTATATTAGGGGGTTAAGAATTGTAATATAACTAAATCTTCATTGGAGTCGTTTGCTGTAGAAAATGCTTCAGGAATTATGTATTGTATTTTTTATGGATTAAAATTCATATTACTGTTGGCATGATTCCTTCACTGATTTCAACAAACTGATTAAAATCTGTTAATATACATCCTGACATCCTTTCAGCCTATATAACTTATGTAGCAATTAGATCCCTGATACATGTGCCATGCACTTTTAAAAAACTCTTCTCAGAAGTTCACTAGAATGTGCCTCTGCTGCACTTCATCCTGTCTGCGGAAATTCCCTGCTCACAAGCAGTACCACCTTTTGCCATCTTGGACTACCCTTTCTTGTGAAGTTTCTTTGATAAATCTTATCCCTATTGTGTTCTAGTTCCCATGTGTTGAGCTGAGCCTTTTAGATGTGTAATTATGGCACAAACAAGTGCAAGCAAAGCCCCATTGCTTTCCCATCCTTGTCAATGAGCGGCTGGTTTTATTTGAGGACTAGAAGAGGTTTAGGGGCTGGTTCATGCTGCCCACCAGAGTTCCCTGTGGTTTTGGCTTCACTCAGACAGAATTTTAGCACAGGGAAGGGAAGAGAGATGCTCAGATGGACCTGGAGACATGAGCTGTCCCCTTGTTCTCCATCTTACTTACTGTTTTCAGGTAAGGGTAAGCTTTACTGAGCCACTTTGATTTTGGATGACATTCTTTGTCAAACTCCTCCCAGCACTTTCCATTGGGAATGTCACCAGCTGTTAGTTTTTTGGCTCTTAAGAGATGTCAAGTCTATAGCATAGCCATCAACTTGCCCTGTGTTGCATATGAAGTGTACTGAGTATTAGTACTTAATTCATTATATGACATTTTCATTTCTTTTCAAGAGCTTTCAAAATAAAAGGAGCTGAATTTAATCTAAAAAATGGATCTTATTAAAGGAGAAATTCTGATTTTAACACTATAGGTTCCCCAAACACTGCAGTAATTAGCATTCTGTAAGTGCCCGGAATAGAACCAGTCATCAGACCCTTAATTTAATAATTTATTGATTAATAATTTTTGTATTCTAATGAGGGAGCACACTTCCTCTGCTTCTGGTCAACATAATTCTGCAAAAGGATGTGAATATTCCTTTGATAATACTCATGTTTGCTCTTTAACCCTTTCATGCTCTTCTGTCTAACACTAAGTGTGCCACTTTTTTCTTGTGTGTAGGTTTTGGATTACAGGACTCAGATTTGGCCCTGTGGTTCTGTGAATCATACCCAGACTCTGAATTGTTAGCAAAATATAAATACTTCTGTGCATTTCCTTGAGATCTTTGAAATAGGGAGGGGAGTAAGTCAAGGAAAGATTAGAAGGCTTGCAGCACCACAAATCACCCAATTACCTGGATGCTGACTATAAAAAAGCGTGCTTTTTGCTTCTGACATTAATTTTCCCCTCTCCTTGTATTAATGAATTAAATTATGCTGTAGTTCCTTTTTGTAGCCTCCCAGATAGGCTAGGAGGAATTGCCATCGACCTAAAGTAACATGTAGTGCTTCAGAGTGCAACGTAAGAACTGTACTCTTATCATGCCTACATACTTATTTTTTCAAGTTCTCAGGAATTTATGCCCAAAAGCAAAACTGAGTTGGTTCAGTAGAATCTACATTTGCATATTTTTAACTGTAAAATTTAGACGTGTCTGCTCTTAATATAATCAGTTTAAGAAATACATAACTAAGACTAGGCTCTTTGCTTCAATGCTAAATGGTGGAGTCCTACCTACCTAGGCACTTACAGCATTCTAAACATTATATGTGTGTATTAGTAGTTTATTTAGTTTTTACATTACAGTTGCAAGTCATTTGACTTTTGGCCCCAAGGCATAATGTAATTCTAAGAGATGTGCTCCATATCACATTTGTTTCCTGAGTATCTTTTTAACAGTGTAAATACTTAACAGTATAGTGTGATATGCTCTGGCAAAAATGTCACCATATCCTTAAGTCCGTAATGTTTATTATACTCTTGAGTCATCAATAACACAAACATAAATTAACATTTGTAATTGACCTTTTCTGTGAACTAGTCAAAAGCAGCTAGTGCTGTGATCCAGGACTTGGTGTGTCGGGATCACATCGCATTGTGTACTTTATCTGCTTGTTTTAAAACTCATCTGTGATACTTGGCCTAAAAGAAATAAAATTATTTCTTTCCCTGAGAGCATTGGTAAGCATATAAATAATTGTTAATAGTTTTTCTTTTTTTGTTGTTGTTACCGGTGTTCCTGTTTGTTTCAGAATTTTGTCTTGCATATCACCAGGTCCAGCAGCACCGTTCTTTCATTGATTTTTCATCCTGCTTTGTCCTTTATCTCTGCTTGCTTGCTGTTGTTCAAGGGTCGCTTGGTGAAAGGTACGAGCCTCATGCAGAGTTTATTTTGGCAAAATGAATAATGTTGCCATTGATCTGGTTTGAGCTGACTCCTTCCTCAGGCAGAAGTTCTTAGCTTCAGGTTGTTTCCTTCTTGCAGGCTCTGCTCGAATTGCAGTGTGGAGCCGCTGGTTGAGCTCTACCCAGCACTCTATTAATATGCACAACATGACCGGTTTCGGGGGAAGGTTATTAGAATGCTGGTTTGTATCCTCCAGTGAATGAAATGATGTGTGATTATGAAGTCATCAGGCATGGACCAGTAAGGCTCGAGAGAGCCTCCCCCCCAGGTCCTGGGGGTGCCATTGATTGGTGACCATGTGTTTGTGCCCGATAGACTGTGAAATGGTGTGTTGCTACACGGCTGTGTTGCACCTGCGCCCCACCGAGGTGATTGATTGGTTTGGTCATGTGGAATGTTCCCATCTGGTCTGCAGTAATGTGTTTTTTTTGTTAGGGTTTTTTTTTTCCTTCCTTCCTCTTCTCTCCCATTTCCCCTTCATCCGCAAGCCGCGAGTGCTGGCTGGGGAGTCGGAGCAGGCAGCCGCAAAAGGCAGCTCAGCTTTGCCTTGTGAACAAAGTGGGGCTGCTGCAAGTGCTGCTCTCAGTCCTACTCAGATCAGGTAGTCTGATGGGGATCATGAGCAGCTTTCCTAAAAAACACAAACTGGAGGAGGGACGGGATGCAACAACCGAACCCCGACACCTAGGTATCACTGCAGATTTCTTACTGATTTTACAAAAGCGCTCTGCTATTGTAATTAGATTACCCAAGTAGCAGTGCATGTGGAAGATCTTATTTAACCTCAGGAAAGTAGTAGTTTATTTATTGAAAACTACTGATGTTGCACTTTAAATGCCAAGAAATTATTTTAGCTCCTTTAAAAAAAATTCTATGGTTACATTGGGCGGTCTTGTTTGATATTTCTTAATCTCACTCCTTTTTCATAATTGATCTATTCATTCCACTTAATGACTAATTACATATCAGAGCACATCATCAGCAGCATTCATCATTGTAGAATGTAATAATCAATGACATTTCAACAAAGGAAAAAATAAATATGCAAATAAGGACTCATTAACATTTGCATGAGCTGTTTGAATAATCACGTTGCTGACAAGGCTGTAATTAACAGAAATTGATGCTGAGTTCAGTATTTGATAGTGTGTTTTCTCAGCGTTTTATTGTTGTCACTGCGGGGGCTGGAATGAAGTTCTGCTCTACTTGTACCTTGACTTAGGCTTGATGTGATGGGTTGTGCCAGGTAGCAGAGGCTTCTGGGAGTCCTTAATTCATCTGTGACCTACACTTAATGCATAGAAAGATATTTACTTAAATTGCCATATTGCTAATGAAGGATTGTTAAATTCTTGGTAATTGTATAACAACTGAAGGCAAACCTTTTTTCCCAAGTCAGGAAAACTAAAAATTATTCCCTTTTTTTTAAATTGATAATCTTTTGCATGAGTCAGGCACTTTGATGCTATAGAATGTATTATTTACATTGAAAATAAGGTATTTATGTAGAGTTTTTGGGGTTTTTCCTCTCTTCATAATCTGCCACACCGTATCAGTGTCAGGAGTCTTGAGCTTTATTGTAATTGAAAATCACTTGGTAAGGAAAATGTTGTGTAATTATGAAATGTACAGTCTCTGTCTCTTCCCTTCCCTTTTTATTATTGCAACTTTACTGCCTCCTCCCTCATTTTTTTTTTTTTCCTCCTTTTTTTTTCTTTTTTTTTTTTTTCCCCTCCCCCTGAAGCTTCCTTTTTTTGTCATGGATATCAACTGAAATGCACAAAACACAATAAAGCTGTTTATGTCAGTTTTTTTGGATGACTGTAAGTGCTGATTATAACAAGTTTAAGGAATTTCCTTTGTTGAGTGTGTACCCACGCCATATGGCTCAACATGGAACATTAACTTGACAGGGATAATGGATTGTGGTATATGGAGACAATTTTGCCTGCAGCTTCACTATAACTCATTCTGGTTGGGGATCACAAGTTTATAATATAGGATGCAGCAAACATCCAGATGGATTTACTTTACATAAAAGAGTTGCGTTTCTTTTTATTTCCTGCCTGTAATTGGGAAAAAAAAAACTTAAAAAAAAAAAGAATTAAAAAGTGGTAAAGAATGTGTCTTATTCAGGGAAGAAAAATCTTAGCATCTATGTAGCTGAAGTGTTTTGGATACACTGAAATGTGCATAGGTGAAGTGTTGCTACTTATATGCACACGCACACCATTGTTGAAATAATATCTCAAGTGCTTTCACTTCTCAGAATATTTCAATATAGCTCCAGTTCTAGAAATACATAATGTTCTAGGATAGTGTGAAAAAAGCTATTTAAAACACATCTCTGATTTTTTACTTAAAGGCTGTTTTTGTCATAAGCAAAGTGACCACTTAATTAGCATTTCTGGTGCTTTGGTAATGCTCTGATAGTACCCTGTTTTCTTCTAGGAAAATAATACTTCTAAGCTTTTTGTGATACATGCAAAGAAAATACTGCAGAAATAATTGTACTTCAGTTTTTACCTGATATAATAGGAAGTGTCCAAATGTCTTACAAATATAACAAAAGTCAGTATAAATCTAATGTGTCTTACTGATCTGCATGCCCAAGGTAAGTCCTAATTTTATGAATACTTCTGCATCTAAGAGACTTTAAGCACACATAATCCCATTAAGCATGTATGTAGCTGTTTGAAGGATCAGGGTCATAAATCCATATTTAGGATTTCAAATAGAGCTGCATGACATGGCTTCACCATTCCTGTGCACTTGTGATTGAGTTATACTTCAAATAAAATTGGTTGCTTTGCTATCTGAAAAGCAGACATCTTTTAGCTATCAGTTTTGGAGATTCTTTTAAAACACTATTTTTTTGAGGCTCCTAATTTTGACCTGTATCCAATATAGCTGCTATAATTTTTTTTAAACCGCTTTCACATGGATAAGAATTTATTACTTTTTTTTTCAATTATCTCTTGAAAAAGAGGTAAGTACCTGAGCAGATGGACAAGACATGGTTCATGGTTGGGCAAGAGAAATGCTGGTAGTGATTATAATAGGTGCTGTTTGTCTGTCCAGTCTTCCTCCCCTGTTACTGACTTAATATGTTGATATTGCAGTTTAGCATCTTTAGACATTATCCAAAGTTGCAGAAAATAGACAGCTATAAAGAATCTGCATTTGAGAAGGGAGCAATAAAAAGGATCACTAACTATTGACCTATGAAGAATCTGTGGTAGCTTAAGATGTGGGGTTTCTTTCAGGTTTTCATGCTGCAAATTATACTTGAAAAAGCTTCTCTATGTTTATTCATCTTCCCCCTGCATGCCTGGCTGTGTGTGTGATAATCACAAACAGGTGGGATTTTACTATGACTTAGGAAGAATACAAGCAACGATGTCTATGAAGTCCCTTATTTGCTACTGCCATTACTGCTACAAAAAGACAGTCTCAGGAAAACACATGGATTTATCTTTAATATTTTCAATAAAACTGGATACATATTTGATGTAAAGGGGCAAAAACATAATCTCTAATATGACAGTCAGATGGTGGATCTTCAATTTATTGTCTGCTGTTTGGGAAACACTAGGATAGGGAAATGTACACCAGCGTTGCAATAAACTTGAAGAATTTAAATCTATAGATAAGAAAATTCTTTCCAGGAACTGTAAGGGGAGTTGACTATTTCTGCCAGATTCTGGACTTCTTGTCTCCTTTTAAGCTTCAGAAGGAAGAAAGGAGTCAAACCCTCAGCAAACACTCAATAAAATAGAAATTTTGAAATAGCATTTGTGTCCTGTATCAGCATTTACCTACCCACCAAAGAACTTCTGCAGGACTCTATTTGCAGAACATGAATGTTCTTCCTAGGTTACAGTGATTACTACCTGCAACATAGATTATACTCCATTCACTAGAGTTCGGCAAAGGTGGAAGTGCTGTGTTGGTAATAATGTTGCACTCTGTGTGTATGTTTCTTATTCGGGTCCTGGAAAAGATACAAAAGCAGGCTTCACTTTTTTTTCTGGTCTTGTAATCTGTAGTGGCCTGTGGGGAGTGCACTTATGATCCAGTCTTGTTAATGGCTTAGTGCAAGGATGTGATAAAAGTCCAGTAAGTTGTCAGTAGAAAGGCCATCAATAGAAATTTATGAAGAGTAATGCTTGAAAGTGAATTCCACTGGCCTCTGACAGTAAGCTGCAGTAACCCTCTTTGATCCTGAAGGGCCTGCTGAATCTCAAGTTGAAGTCAATGGTTTGGGTACAAAGAGCAATGATTTAATTTTTGTTTCGCTAATGATTTATTACTAAATATTGCTTCAGCCTTTGCACTACTGTGTTTCGTTACTGAGCTGCCCTTTGGAGGGGCTCTGTCGGAAGGCGAGCCTGGGCCCACGCCGCGGCCAGGCCGCGCTGCCGGGGACACTTCCTTGTGCTGCAGGCCCGGCGCCGGGAGGGGGCGCTCTGGGCACGGCAGCGGCCGCGCCGCGGGGAGCGGAGCGGGACCGAGCCAGCGCCGCCTCCGCTGCCACCCCCGGACGGCGCTGCCACCCCCGGAGGGCACTGTCACTCCCCCCCCGGAGGGCACTGTCACCCCCCCCCCCGAACCGCACTGTCACCCCCCACCCCGAACCGCACTGTCACCCCCCACCCCGAACCGCACTGTCATCCCCCACCCCGGACGGCACTGTCACCCCCGCACTGTCACCCCCGCTCCGAACGGCACTATCCCTGCTCCGAACGGCATTGTCACCCCCCTCGAACAGCACTGTCCCCCGCCGCCGACATTGTCACAGCCACACGGCGCTACTGGCTCCCCTCTGCTTCGAACACGGCGTGCTGTGAGCCGTCACTTTGTTTCTGCCCTTAGAGAAGGTGGACTCTATTTTATAGCAAAACCAGAAATTAATGTCTAGCTTAAAATAGCAGTACCGTTAAGTTGCAAACGAATTAGTATTAACTTAGTGCTTTTCAATATTTCCAGTACTTGTGACACAATTGCTTAAGAACTCCATTAAGAGTTGGCTGAGATGATGCGTTTTCCTTTGTCAGATTTCTCTGATCTGCCTGTAGTCCCCTATCAGTTTCCTGAGTGTGTAGTTCATATGAGAAGTCCCTGCTGAATTTAAAACATTTGAATACTTGGAAGCAGATATGTGCTTAGTTGCTTTACAGATTTTATGCCTAAACCTACTCCTAATAAATGTGGAGTATTGATTAGGTCCTGTTTTCAATGAGA